AATTAAATAAATAAATGCGGTACTCGTAACCTAACATTTTACATAAATAATCATCCTATTGAGATAACAGAAAAATATAAGTACCTGGGAGTTGTTTTTAGTCAGACTGGCAAATTTAACAAAGCACGTGACCATATTATAACCCAAGCAAAAAAGGCGATGCATTTGTTATACAAACGTATTTTTAACCTAAATCTACCTTTAGATCTTCAGCTTAAATTATTTGATAACACAATCTTGTATCATAGTTTGGGGACCTTTCTGTTGAAAAAGTGTCAGAGTTAAATCGTATACATATACATGCACAGTGCGGTAACTGGAGTGCAGGTATCAGTTACCCGCACTCCAGATAATGCCCGTGGATTGGTTCATTTTTACCGGGGTTTACATATTTTGACGGCAGAGAAAGGGAAAGGGGCAGAACTATCATATTCAAATGCTCGTTTATTGGTTATTTTTTTCCGGGGTTTAATATTATGACAACAGGGAACGTGCTGTCATGTTTGACTATGATACAAAATAGAAAGAACACCAAAACACTCGGCAATCTGATTTATACTCGGGGGCTACGCCCCCTCGTACAAATCAGATAGCCTCGTGTTTCGGTGCTCTTTCTATTACTTACCCATACTCACATTTTCAAGCGAAATATGGGGTATAGAAAATAACAACGACATAGAAAAGGTTCATTTAGATTTTCTAAGAAAAATTACAAATACAAGGAAAAGTACCCCCGCTTATATGTTATATGGGGAATTGGGGCGTTATCCGTTGCAAATAAATATCAATACGAAAATAATTCGGTTTTGGAATATTTTAAAAACAATTGATTCGAATAAATATTCAAATATTATTTACAAAATAATGATTCAAAGTGATAATTCCTACAGATGGCTAAATTCAGTAAAAGATATTTTAAACAATACAGGTTTCCCCCATCTATTCTTGAATCAAGAAGATATCACTATAAAAAATATCCATTTACTAATAAAGCAAGTGCTAGTAGATCAATTTATAACAGATTGGAATGGAAAATTACAAGCCTCAAACAAAGGAAAATTATATTATTTGTATAAACAAGAACATAAAAGAGAAGACTATTTAACAATATTACCGAAAAACTTGTACATACCGCTTCTTAAATTTCGTACAGCTAATCACCGTCTTCCGGTAGAAATTCTAAGATATAACAATACCCCATACAACGAGCGTATCTGCGAAGAGTGCCGAACACTCGAAGACGAATTTCACGCAATTATGTCCTGTAAACGTTTTTCCGTCATACGGAAAAAATAAATCCCAGAATATTATTATAATTTATAAACATCCAAATGTAATCAAGTATAATGAATTGTTAAATAGTACCGACTATGCTACCTTGAAATCTTTAAGTATGTTTGTTTCATATATTTTGAAACAATAAGTTGCTTTCTTCTTATAAATAAAATTAAACAACTCGCCAGGTAAAATTTACTCTGATTGGTCAACGCTACCACACTTTTATGAATGAAATTCCTAGACTGACATGATTACTACAAAATAATCGTGCAACACAATAGTAAATCGTGTCTTTGTATTTATACAGTTATTTGAGATTATTACGAGCGTATAGATACTGTTAGTTTTATTCTAATGTCTCCAATTTTTTATAGTATGAAAACTGCTAGATATAAAGTACTAGTTGGGAGAAATTGACTTGTATAATTATTCTAAATATAACTTATTTATGTGCATGCAAAAATGCCCGGTTTTTACACTGTTTCCCTGGTAAAAGCTATTTAATCAAAACTTTCATAACATTAGACACGTTATTCTTATAAACTGTTGTTTTCGAAATATTTTTTGCATGTCTCGTTCTATATAAATTGTTAAATACACCCACATATGTTATAATACTGATATTATTTGTAAATTGTCTGTTGTTACATTATATGTAATCTTGACAAAATAAAGAAATATTGTATTGTATTGTATTGTATTGATACACCAGTGCCAAGATTTTCAACGGACAGGGGGAGTAACTCATATGGTAATAGAATAATAGATATGTGTAAAGCTACCTCCCTTAGAATAGCAGGTGACGATTTCGGAAACGGTGTTTTTACATGCGATAATTACAATGGTGCTAGCTTGATGGATTATTTATTATTGTGTGAAAAAGATTTTGAAATGATAAACAATTTTCATGTATGTAATTTTAATGAGACCATGCTGCCTTAAATTTTGACATTTTGTGTAACTCGGTTAACGCAAATGGTTCCAAAGTATTTAATAACGAGTATATCAAATGGAGTGATCATGATAAAGAATTTTATCGTTCTGGGATAATAGCAAAATTTCCTGTTTTAAATGATATATTATTGAAATGTAATGTAAATGATGTAAATAGTGTAAATAATACGGTGAATTTATTCACAAGTGTTGTGAGGGAAGTTGCAGATCCTCTTTTTTTAAAAACATTTTTTTACATTTCCAAGATTTGATTTTCTGAAATTGATGATTCCTGTAAATGGTTTGATTTAGATTGTAGGGAAGCAAAACAATTGTAGCAAAATGCACTAAAACAGTTTAATATGTCACATACAGAAACTGATCGATTAGAATTAGTTCAACTTAAATCAAGGTATAACTATGTTGTTAAGAAAAGACGTCGTACTTTTAAATAGCAACAAACTAAAAAATTTGAAAATTTAAGAAAGAGTAAGCCACGTGATTTTTGGCGCTATTTTAAAAAGGAGCAGAGAAGTAATAATTGTGAAATACCTTTGCACGATTTCAAAACATATTTTGAAACTATGTTCTCTGAAGTAAATTTTTCCTTGAATGAAAGAGCAGAAGATTTTAACAATGTCCATGATTTTAATGATTTAAACCCTGTTTTTTTCTGAATTAGATGAAGATATTACCTAACAGGAAGTACTTAAGGCAATTTCTATGCTTAAAAGAAAAAAAGGGGCAGGGATGGATAATCTTTTAAACGAATATTTTATAGAAGCAAGCGATATCATGTCTGGTCATTTAACAGAGATATCTAACAATATTTTAGAATCTGGCATTTTCCCCGAAATCTGGACAAGAGGTTGTATAATACCATTACATAAAAAATGAAATAAAGAAGATGTACAAAATAACAGAGGAATAACTTTATTAAGTCATCTTGGTAAATTGTTAACTAGTATTTCAAATCAAAGAATAACTAAATGGTGTAATGAAAATAACATTATTTCTGATGCGCAGTTTGGTTTTAAAAAAGGAAGTTCGACTACAGAAGCTGTTTTTATATTGCATTCTATAATTGAAAAACATTTGAACCAGAATAAAAGATTGTATTGTGCTTTTATTGATTTAAAACGTTGTTTTAATTCTATATACAGGAATGCACTTTGGTTTAAGATGTATTATGCTGGTTTGAATGATAAATTATTAAGAATAATAGGAAGTATGTATAACTCTGTTAAATCTTGTGTAAAGTCCTGTGGTAACTATTCTGATTTTTTTGATATTTCGATTGGATTACGATAATTTCCCCAATTATGTTTTCCTTTTTTATTGAAGATCTATAACTTTATTTGCAAAATAATTTAAATTCTGGTATAGATCTGCAAGACATTTGCCTCATTTTACTTATGTTTGCTGATGATATGGTATAAATTGGTGAAAACCCTTTAGATCTCCCTCCAGGGTTCATTAAATAAGCTTCATGAATATTGTGATAAATGGGGATTAGAAGTTAATGTAAATAATAGCAAAATAGTAGTTTTTCGTTAAGAGCAGGAGAAATCTGGTTGTATGATGAAGATAATATAGAAATTGTAAATGATTTTAATTATCTAGGTGTCACATTGAATTATACAGGAAATTTTAACTTAAATACTCAAACTTTATACGGTAAATATTTAAAAGCCCTAAATAATTTAGTGGCAAATTTGACAAAATATGAAACACAACCAAAAATAGCCCTACAGTTGTTTGGCTCTTTTATTGGTTCTATGTTAATGTATGCAAGTGAAGTATGGGGTTTTGCAAGTAAAAAAAGTTAGAAAATATTCATTTCAAATTTTGAAAAACTATTCTTGGTGTTAGAAAAATCTACTAGTAAGGTAGCTGTGTATGGTGAACTTGGAAGATAGCCGTTGTATATAAACAGATATGTCCGAATTGTAAAATTCTGGTTTAAGATAATAAGTTAAAGTAATATTACTATAAATACAATTTTCAGTTTAAGCTTAAACTATTTATTTTTACACATTATGTCACAGTATTTTTGCAATGACCTGTACATCTGGCTCCTCCTCCAGTATGTCAGTCAGCATCATTCGCGCATGCTCAGTAGACTGGGTATATAAACCGAGCACGCTCCTGCAAATTCCTTTCTGATCCAGTCGCTGTCCCGAAGTAACACGGGATAAAAACCCAACCACCCTTCCCATTTTGCCCTGCTGTTGTCTCTTTTTCTGTTTTCAGGTATAACTGGCCGCCGCGGTACTTTAAGCACTTCTTCGTCATGACTGGCATTGTCATGGGAACAGTCGACATGGCTACATAAACATCCCCAGAAATTACCATCGAATAATAACAATACAAGGCTTGTGTGTAAGCATAACAACCCTGCATTCTGGACACCTGTGGGATGAGCTCTAACTTCATCATGTCGCGACTTTTTATTATCAGAAGATTGACTTATAACTAATTGTAACCGATGACGGTACAATGATCTCTATAAAAAATCTCTTGTATATACATGCTCCAACTTCAGCAAGTTGCGATTTTTGAAGATCGACTTTTAACTTTTGTAACCGAACTTGTATAACTTAATCTTTCGTATATATATATATATATATATATATATATATATATATATATATATATATATATATATATATATATATATATATATATATATATATGTGACAGGTCGGAAATTTAGTGACATAGTATGGTATTGGTTTTTTACCGTATAGTACGGTATCTAGAGTTTAGCGCAGTTTCATTCTGAGCGCTCTTTATCAGTTGTTGGCGGAGGTAGATGCGTGAAGCCTTTGTCACCTTTTGCTTCTGTAAATTCATGGTTATATTTTGTTGGAAGAAGGTTTTAGTATTGTAAGTTTGTTTATCTCTGTATTGGCCATTGAATTGTAAACGGTTTTGTTTATTTGTTTATTTCTCGGTTGAATTTATTGTTCAGTCGGTTCTGAAGAATTTCCCGCCAAACCCCGCGTCTTTGACCCCTTTGTCCTTTGACTGTCAGATGATCTATTCTATTTGTCACTATTGCTAACAATAATTTTACATTCACAGCATGCAGTTACAAACACCAGAATGGGGAGTGTGTGATGTATGTTTAAGTGGAAATACCAAGGATCCCATTGATCCTGGTGATATGTATATACTCCTGTATACACATGAATAATTAATTGGAAAAATGTAAATATAAACAGTATGAGTGATCAATAAGTATGTTAGAGTTATCCTGAAAAGAAAATAAAGACTATCTGAACTCTGATGAAATTTATTGTCTTTATCATAATCATGAAAAGATTATTAAGAACCAGGGTTACAGAATTGGCGACCACGACGAGACAGAAATTTTTTTCAAGCAAGATTATTTAAATCAGGATACATAAAACATTTAAAGACTTGTGTTATTTCAAGTGTATTAATTTATTACATACATCAGAGAAAATATTCATCTTTAATTTAAAGAACAGAACTGATATATGTTTAAAACAATTTCATCATTTGAGAATAATTTTTACTTGTAATATTAAAGCGTAGAAGCTTCAGGATACCTATACAAGTGTTTAAATGTCTATACGTGTACACATCTACGTCAAACCATTGGAGAATTATTGATCTTCCTGATGTTACAGTATTTGTCCATGGATCGACTACCAGAACGTTATATCAACTCAACAACCAACATTTTAGATCAACCCAACAACTAACAGAAGAGGATAACCGACAGGATAGTGGAAACTGACACTGACATTATTTAGTTACTTCCAGAAATTTTGAGTACTTGTGGTTCAAATTGGTAGTAATGGTACTTTGATGTTACTGCAAAAAAAGGTTTAACAGTTGGTGAGTCGACATGAAATGTAATTTTTTCTCTTGATCAGCATTTATTTAGAAATTTTATAAATTTTCATTTTCTTGGGTAAAGAATTTAATTGACAAGTATCTGCAAAAAAATTTATTTTTGTAATTAAAAAAAAAAATTAAAAATATAAATTGGTAAATACTGATTATTACTGATCAAGAAGAAATTTTATTTGTATATTTATAAACCAAGTGTGATATTGTAAGTGCGAGTCTGAGGCAATGTAAGTACAGCACTTGTCACTGGTTGCGGGTATATAACATATTAATTTTCACAAGAAAGCATTTGGCACAATTAATAGATCTATTCTTTCTTCTTTGCATTGTAATGTAACAATCACAAAGATCATTTTGACAGTCTACCCTTTCCCAACCTTCCATTTGTCCAAATTTCCTTGTTGAATTGTCTGAATTTGGGTGCCTTGTCTAAAAAAAAGGTTATTTTTCTCTTGTAAAAAAAAAAGCTTGTCTGTGAGTGTTTTAATAACAATTTAATTGGCAGGATCTCTCTCATTGATTGGAATTGTTGCTGGTTATCTTGTGTTTCCTGCTTGATTCCATTGTTTACACTTGACAATTGTTTACATTCTGTGGTTGTTTACATTTGGGAGTTCATACATGTATGTTCACTGACGCATTCCTCCAGCAATGGTAGATGAAGTTCGTAAACATATTGAACAACTTTTATCCAATGGCATCATTAGAAAATCCAAATCACCTTGGGCGTCCAACATAGTTCTTGTCAGAAAGAAGAATGGAAAACTTCGCATTTGTATTGATTATAGGATGTTAAACAACAAAACAGTAAAAGATTCCTATGCTCTCCCAAGAATTGATGACGTCTTTGATTGTTTATATGGAGCAAAGTGGTTTTCAACAGTTGACATGAAAAGTGGTTACCATCAGGTTGAAGTCGAAGAATGCCATAAAGAAAGGACAGCTTTTACAGTCGGCCCGTTAGGATTTTACGAATACGAAAAAATGCCTTTCGGTTTATGCAACAGTCCTGCTACTTTTCAACGTCTTATGGAAGAATGCCTAGGAGAACTAAATATGAAGATTTGTGTGATCTACTTAGACGACTTAATCATTTTTAGCAACTCATTTGAACAACATCTTGAAAGACTTAACATCATTTTATCAAGATTACAAGAATGTGGAATCAAGTTATCACCAGAGAAATGCTACTTCATGAAGAAAAGAGTAAATTTTTTAGGACACGTGGTTAGTGAAAATGGTATTGAGACGGATCCCGAGAAAATAGAAAAGATTATCAACTACCCAAGACCAAACAATCCAGATGAACTTCGATCTTTC